TGTGGAGTCTTTTTCCCCCCCTCTGATCCCCCCCCCCCCATAAATCTTCTCAACACAGGGACGCACACTACTTCCTATACATCTCCCAGGTATCTCTTTGTATCCTGCTGTTCAGGAATCCGAATGGATACAACAGCTGGAGCAAGCATGCAGCCCGTAAAGGACACAGGAATCCATATTGCCCTCTGTCCATTTAGCCATCTGGTACAGTGGATCACGTTCAAGCGTTCTTACAAGAAGGTTCTTACTTCAAGTGACGCTAAACATGGGGAAAAAATCTTCCAAATATAATCAAGTCCCTGAACTCTGAGCAACAATGTATCTTATTTGTGTATCACTCGGCTGTAAATCCTCCAATCATCTCTGAATTGGTGCTGACACTGTCCTTCCTTCTGGAGGGGGGCTACGTCTGTTCCCCATGGTCCCTGTGTGTGTTGTAAAGTAGTCACCGCTCCAAGCTCGCTCCCGGGACGGACTACAATCTCAGGTTTAGTAGGGATGCACCGATATATCGGCCGCCAAAACATATCGGCCGAAAATGGCACTTTTGGCTAAATGCCGACAGTGTCATTTTTGTGCCGATACATCGGCGCATCCGTGCTTCCTTTTCTCCCCGCTGGGCGCTGCTCTGTGTCCCAGCGGGGAGAAGAGAAAGTGACAGCCGGCCGAGCGCTGCGGGAGGAGAGCGCTGTGAGCGGCCGGCATCTCTCCTCCCGCAGCACTCAGCCTCCTATCACAGTCCGGCAGAGCGGTGTGTGGGCGGAGACAGCCCGCACTGTCACAGAAGGCTGGGATCTCCTCCCCGCTCCGCTCGCCCAGCCTCCTGTGACAGCGTGTCAGAGAGGAGAGCGGGTACAAGCAGTCATGTGACCAGTGATCGCTGAGTGTTTGTAGATAATGGAGGACATGGTATGGTTACTATATCCTCAATTATGAATGAATGGGAAGTGATCTACATTGCATCTAATAAACCGTTTCGGTTTCGGCCTGACAATTTTTTTAATTTCGTTTCTTGTTTCGTTTTTGAAATTTCCATTTCAGTGCCCCTCAAATGTTTAGTTTACTAAGCATGTCTGTGACAGGAGCGAGCTTGGCTCCTAAGACAATGTATACTTGCCGCCTCATCGCTTTCTAAGCGTGCTGAAGAATCCTCAGCGCCTGACACTTCCAGGAGCGCCTGATGCCCGGTACCCCTCCGCATGTGCTGCGGTTCCTCACCCCAACCTCTACGTGCGACTACCGTGTCCTGTAATGATCATGACATAAATGTCCACACACTATAAGCCGTGACAGGATCGAGAGGTGAGCGAACGCCGCTATGTGTTCGCTCACCTCCCGATCTACTGAGCCGACCTGTGACAGTCTCATTGTCACAGGTCGGCTAGAACTATGAGGTGAGTGGAAAGCACCCCCCTCCCCCTCATAGTTCTCCTTTAAGTGCTTCTGACTTGCTGAGTTTATTGCCCTGCGTGCCTCCATAGTATGAAAACATTGGTGTCTCCGTACGTAGTTCTGATGCTCAACGGATATTTCTCTTTCACCATCAGTGACCAGTATATGTGTTTTTTATTTTTCAGTCTTCCAATAAGGCTAAAACGGCTGAGGCGGACACATCGAGTGAGCTGGCCAAGAGGAGTAAAGAGGTCTTCAGGAAGGAGGTAAGTACGCTAAACTGCAGCCAGTCCAAATGCATCTTCTCATATCATATAAGGGAGATCCTTCAGCTTCACTTTGTCAACATAACCAAGAAAATTCATCACTAGAGGGATCCCCAGCAGGAGGAAGGAGGTCCTGATCCCTCTATATAGATCTATCACTAGAGGGGTCCCGAGCAGGAGGAAGGAGGGCCTGATCCCTCTATATAGATCTATCACTAGAGGGGTCCCGAGCAGGAGGAAGGAGGGCCTGATCCCTCTATATAGATCTATCACTAGAGGGGTCCCGAGCAGGAGGAAGGAGGGCCTGATCCCTCTATATAGATCTATCACTAGAGGGGTCCCGAGCAGGAGGAAGGAGGGCCTGATCCCTCTATATAGATCTATCACTAGAGGGGTCCCGAGCAGGAGGAAGGAGGGCCTGATCCCTCTATATAGATCTATCACTAGAGGGGTCCCGAGCAGGAGGAAGGAGGGCCTGATCCCTCTATATAGATCTATCACTAGAGGGGTCCCGAGCAGGAGGAAGGAGGGCCTGATCCCTCTATATAGATCTATCACTAGAGGGGTCCCGAGCAGGAGGAAGGAGGGCCTGATCCCTCTATATAGATCTATCACTAGAGGGGTCCCGAGCAGGAGGAAGGAGGGCCTGATCCCTCTATATAGATCTATCACTAGAGGGGTCCCGAGCAGGAGGAAGGAGGGCCTGATCCCTCTATATAGATCTATCACTAGAGGGGTCCCGAGCAGGAGGAAGGAGGGCCTGATCCCTCTATATAGATCTATCACTAGAGGGGTCCCGAGCAGGAGGAAGGAGGGCCTGATCCCTCTATATAGATCTATCACTAGAGGGGTCCCGAGCAGGAGGAAGGAGGGCCTGATCCCTCTATATAGATCTATCACTAGAGGGGTCCCGAGCAGGAGGAAGGAGGGCCTGATCCCTCTATATAGATCTATCACTAGAGGGGTCCCGAGCAGGAGGAAGGAGGGCCTGATCCCTCTATATAGATCTATCACTAGAGGGGTCCCGAGCAGGAGGAAGGAGGGCCTGATCCCTCTATATAGATCTATCACTAGAGGGGTCCCGAGCAGGAGGAAGGAGGGCCTGATCCCTCTATATAGATCTATCACTAGAGGGGTCCCGAGCAGGAGGAAGGAGGGCCTGATCCCTCTATATAGATCTATCACTAGAGGGGTCCCGAGCAGGAGGAAGGAGGGCCTGATCCCTCTATATAGATCTATCACTAGAGGGGTCCCGAGCAGGAGGAAGGAGGGCCTGATCCCTCTATATAGATCTATCACTAGAGGGGTCCCGAGCAGGAGGAAGGAGGGCCTGATCCCTCTATATAGATCTATCACTAGAGGGGTCCCGAGCAGGAGGAAGGAGGGCCTGATCCCTCTATATAGATCTATCACTAGAGGGGTCCCGAGCAGGAGGAAGGAGGGCCTGATCCCTCTATATAGATCTATCACTAGAGGGGTCCCGAGCAGGAGGAAGGAGGGCCTGATCCCTCTATATAGATCTATCACTAGAGGGGTCCCGAGCAGGAGGAAGGAGGGCCTGATCCCTCTATATAGATCTATCACTAGAGGGGTCCCGAGCAGGAGGAAGGAGGGCCTGATCCCTCTATATAGATCTATCACTAGAGGGGTCCCGAGCAGGAGGAAGGAGGGCCTGATCCCTCTATATAGATCTATCACTAGAGGGGTCCCGAGCAGGAGGAAGGAGGGCCTGATCCCTCTATATAGATCTATCACTAGAGGGGTCCCGAGCAGGAGGAAGGAGGGCCTGATCCCTCTATATAGATCTATCACTAGAGGGGTCCCGAGCAGGAGGAAGGAGGGCCTGATCCCTCTATATAGATCTATCACTAGAGGGGTCCCGAGCAGGAGGAAGGAGGGCCTGATCCCTCTATATAGATCTATCACTAGAGGGGTCCCGAGCAGGAGGAAGGAGGGCCTGATCCCTCTATATAGATCTATCACTAGAGGGGTCCCGAGCAGGAGGAAGGAGGGCCTGATCCCTCTATATAGATCTATCACTAGAGGGGTCCCGAGCAGGAGGAAGGAGGGCCTGATCCCTCTATATAGATCTATCACTAGAGGGGTCCCGAGCAGGAGGAAGGAGGGCCTGATCCCTCTATATAGATCTATCACTAGAGGGGTCCCGAGCAGGAGGAAGGAGGGCCTGATCCCTCTATATAGATCTATCACTAGAGGGGTCCCGAGCAGGAGGAAGGAGGGCCTGATCCCTCTATATAGATCTATCACTAGAGGGGTCCCCAGCAGGAGGAAGGAGGTCCTGATCCCTCTATACAGACCACTTGGTCTGGTTTTGCGGTCACTCTTCTATGTTGCTGTATCTCTGTTCGTTGTCCGCGGAGCTGATTCCTTATCATGCGTTTGATGTTCTCTCCCGCGTAGATGTCGCAGTTCATTGTTCAGTGCCTGAACCCGTACAGGAAGCCGGACTGTAAGATTGGTCGGATCAACAACACGGAGGATTTCAAGCACCTGGCTCGCAAGGTAGAACTAACGATCTCGCTAGAAGGAAACGCGTCTGTTTTATTATGTACTAAACCGCAGCCAACTGGCCTTGTGTCTATTTAGTATATCTTGTCACATGGTAAGCAGATCGCACCTTGCAATGCTCCCAACCGAGTCTGAAAACGGCTTCGGATTTTGGCATTTTTGGGCTGCAAAGCCGCAGCACACAATTTCCAAGCTGAACTCGACCTACAGGACGCAAAAGAGTCAGACATTGGGAGGTTACCTTGTGGTTTTGAGACCGTGGCAGTGCGAATGGGATTTGGACTTTGTTGTGAAGACATTGGGAGGAGTTTGCTGATTGGTAGGAAGGCCAGTCTGAAAAACGTCCGAGAAGGCTATGTGCATATGCATTAGGGGCAGCGCAGTGGTTTGCGCTTCTGCCTTGCAGCACTGGGGGTCCCCGGTTGGTATCCCGGCCACGGTCACTATCTGCAAGGAGTTTGCATGCTCTCCCTGTGCTGGTTTGTTTCCTCCGGTTGCTCCGGTTTCCTCCCACACTCCAAAGACACGCTGGTAGGTTAATTGGCTCCTCTCTACGTTGGCCCTCTATGTATGCATGTGAGATGTATGCATCAGTCCCTACCCCTCAAGCTCCTTGAGGGGCGGGACTGACTTGAGGGTAGGGACTTCCCCCCCCCCCCCCTTCTCTTTGGTGGCTATAACAGCCTCCAAAATCTTGTAGAAAGGGTTCCTAGAAGGGCGGCCATTTGTGAGGTCCGGTCCGGAAGAGAAGGTCGGGCTCACAATCGGCATTCCGATCCACCCCAAAGCAGTCCAGTAGGTTTGAGGTCAGGACTCTGTGCAGGACACTCGAGTTCCTTCAGTCGGAATTTCTCGGCATGTGTTTGCAGTGTAGGAGGAAGCTGGAGGCAACTTGCACAGACTCAGGGAGACGAAACATCTTAGGCCCCATTCACACTGAGCGATTCGCAAATCACGCATTTGTCGCGCGATTTGCATTTTACGCGATATCGCGCAAATGGTTGCATTGAGCCAGCTAGAATCGCGGCAAAATCCGCTCCAAAAAGGGTCCTGCTGTAGCGACGCACGACCCGCAACAGCGACGGACGGCCCCATTGCCATGCATTGGAAAGCGATATCGCGCGGTAAATAGCCGCGATATCGTGGGAATTACCGCGCAGTAAATCGCTCAGTGTCAATGGGGCCTTACAGATGGAACACTGTTAGGAGATGAATCCAAAACCCCTGAAGTGCGCCCCACGTGCTGACCAATAAGACAAATATTGCTAAGATTTTAATCCTGAGACGCCGCAGCTGAAACTGATCCCGACAATTTATGCCGGGATCCGCCCAGCTGCGTGAGTGACAGCTGGCTCTGCCTATCTAGAGGCAGAGCCAGCTGTACCCGCCCCCTCCCCCGTCCGTCCCGCCAGTCAGCGCTGGAGGATCGGAGCGGGGAGTGGGGAATCCAGCCCCTCCCCTGTCACGGCAGAGAGCTGTGACAGGATCGAGAAGTAAGCGAGCGCCGGTATGTGTTCGCTCACCTCCCGATCTACTGAGCCGACCTGTGACAGTCTCATTGTCACACATCGGCTCAGATTATGAGGTGAGTGAAAATCCCCCCCCCCCCCCTCCCCCTCATAGTTCTCCTTTTTAAAGCCTAATTTTTTTTAACATCCTTTGTACTGCCGATGTCACCGTTACATTGTGTTCTGCTTCTCCTTCTGTGTAAAGCTTTCCCTTTATTTCAAGTTAAATGGTCCCAAGATTGCTTTCCCCACTTGTAGGAGGGGACTATGTGGCCTTGCGCGGTCCTACGGAGCCCCATCTTAGCCACGTGTATGTGCGCGCTCCCTGGGGGAGGGGCATTACAGGCTGGCTGAGAGGACAACGCACAGAAGACAATCCTCTGCTCCTCCAGGAGAAGTCATAGACGGTGCTGCCTCCAGACCGGCTGTCAATCACTTCCCTTGGAGGAGGAGCAGAGGCGTGGCTTGTGCGTGTAGACCTCTCAGGCTGCCTGTGCATATCAGCGCAGACAGCCTGCCCACGCCGGTGTCCTGGTAGAATCCTGGACCCGTGACAAACCTGGACCAGCGCATCACCTCTGGGGGCGTCAGCTGAACGCGCAAACGCAGAGGCACAGTGCACATTACATCAGCCGATCACGTCCAGAGTTTTCACAAGCTGTTTGCCTGCATTGCGCATGTGCGGAGAAGCCGGCGGGTCCAGACAATTCACAGACGAGGCGCCTACAGCCACATAAATAATGTATTTATATTTATTTTGTTGTTATGTGGCTGTAGGCGCCTCGCCTGTGAATTGTCTGGACCCGCCGGCTTCTCCGCACATGCGCAATGCAGGCAAACAGCTTGTGAAAATTGTGGACGTGATGTAATGTGACTGGTGATGATTGAGGATGAGCTCAGGTACAGACCGAACCCATTCCGAACCCCCGAAGGAAGCTCCTTCAGCTGCCACCCAATCAGCTGTGGCTGGGGAATTCCTCACCCACAGCTGCACGCAAGCAAAGGGGAGGGATGTTGTGACATCATTGACCTTATATGGCAACAAAAGTTTAATGATCGAACAAGCGACCCACCCCTTTGTTTATGTGCAACTGCGGGTTGAGGAATGCCCTGGCCTGCAGCTGATGGGCCTGGGTGACCCTGTGTTCTTCCAGGTTTCGGGAGAGCTCAGATTTGGACCTAGTTTGGGGAATGCCCCGGCCTGCAGCTGATTGGCCTGGGTGGCCCTGTGTTGGTTTCAGGGGAGCTCAGATTTGGACCTAGTTTGGGGAATGCCCCGGCCTGCAGCTGATTGGCCTGGGTGGCCCTGTGTTGGTTTCAGGGGAGCTCAGATTTGGACCTAGTTTGGGGAATGCCCCGGCCTGCAGCTGATTGGCCTGGGTGGCCCTGTGTTGGTTTCAGGGGAGATCAGATTTGGACCTAGTATTGGGAATGCCCCGGCCTGCAGCTGATTGGACGGATGGCCCTCTGTTGCTTCCAGGTTTTAGAGGTTTGGTCCAAACCTTCGAGCAAGCTGCGCAGAGAAAGCAGGAGGATGCGTCTGGAAAAAGATCAATGTGTATATTTGTATGCACTCGGTCTATAACACGGGTCGGCAACCTCTGCAATCCTGCTGTTGTGGAACTACAAGTCCCATGAGGCATTGCAAGACTTGACAGTCACAGGCATGACTCCCAGAGGCCAAGGCATGGTGGTATTTGTAGTTTCAGCACAGCTGGCCGCCCACCCCTGCTCTATACTGAAATGTAGAGATTCTGATTGGCTTACAGTGTCTTTTATCGTCATAGCAATTGATTTGTCTCTCCTTTTTATGAACAAGGAGCTGAAGTACTGCAAGAACCCGGAGGACCTGGACTGCAACGAGAACGTTAAACACAAATGCAAGGAGTACATCAAGAAGTACATGCAGAAATTTGGCTCCGTCTACAAGCCCAAAGAGGACGTGGACATGGAATAGCCGCCCCCTCACCCGGCGACTAAGCCTCGGCGCCCGCGACTAGCGAAGAGATCGCCCCCTCCCCAACTACACGCAGGGCGACCCCGGGGGGGTCATGAATTTCCAAGTATTAATTCCCTGACCCGTCCGAATCTCCCGGACTCCAGAAGCGAAGACGAGTGCGAGCTCCACGGACTGTTCCTGAGGATCTCTGGGGCGGGGGGGGGTGGGGGGGATCATTTAGGTCTCGTTCACACCTAGGCGTATTGCGTATGCGCGTCTGTCGCGCGTTTTTTACCGCGATTCGCTGTAAAAAAAAGTTGCGCGTTTCCGAAGTCTACTTGGCTGTATCCCAATGGAAACGCGCAACAAAACGGCCCAAAGTAGTACCTGGACCTTTTCAGGCGGGGGCCGTTTTGTAGCGCGTTAGGGACGGGCGGAAATACGCCGAGGTGGGAACGAGACCCATTGAATACAATGGGATTTATATTTTTGAGCGTTTTGTAGAGCGTTCATCGAGCGTAGAACGCGCTACAAAACGTTCAGGTGTGAACGAGGGCTAAAAGCTGAAAGACGCTCCATTCCCTCATCACTGCAATAGCTTCTCCTTATTAAAAACTTAAATTTTATTTTATTTTTTTAGTTTTTGTAGAAAAAAATAGAGGTGCACCGAAATGGAAATTTTTTTAAAACCGAAAATAAAATAAAAAATTGTCAGGCCGAAACCGAAAATGTTTTTTTTTATTTAAATTTTTTAAAATCTTTTTAATATTTAATTTATTTTTTATAATTCGGGGGAAATATTGGGGGTCTAAACAGACCCCCTGATGTTTCCCTTTTTAAAATAGAAAAAGAGATTGAGGACACTAAAGTCCTCTATCTCTTATTCTGTAGCCCCTGTTATCAATGAAGAGGAATCCTCTATACTGAGTGTTCCTGATCATTCATAACATGAGGACAGAGTGTGTTTACTATAACCACAATCATGAATGAACAGGAAGTGATGTAGATGTGATGCAGATCACTTCCTATTCATTCATAATTGAGGATATAGTAACCATACCATGTCCTCAATTATCTACAAACACTCAGCGATCACTGATCACATGACTGCTTGTACCCGCTCTCCTCTCTGACGCGCTGTCACAGGAGGCTGAGCGAGGGGGTGCGGGGAGGTGAGCTCGGCCTCCTGTGACAGCGCTGGCTGTCTCCGCCCACACGGCGCTCTGCCGGACTGTGATAGGCGGCTGAGCGGTGGGGGAGGAGAGACGCCGGCCGCTTACATCGCTCTCGTCCTGCAGCACTCGGCCGGCTGTCACTTTCTTTTCTCCCCGCTAGAACACAGAGCAGCCCCCAGCGGGGAGAAAAGAAAGCAGGGATGCGCCGATGTATCTGCAGGAAAATGGCTCTTTCGGCATTATGCCAAAAGTGCCATTTTTGGCCGATATGTTTCGGCGGCCAATTTTATATCGGTGCATCCCTAGAAAAAAAGGACCTTTTTTATTGTCAGTGATGTAGGAATACTCAGATACCATTATTTACAGACAGAGTACGAGTGCCGATACTTCCCCTCGAGTACTCGCCGATACCAATTACCGATACTTTCTTTTTTAGTGTCATGTGATGGGTTTTTTCTAAAACAATACAGACTAATGATTTTAGGATGGTGGTGGAGCGCCGGGGCCCGGTCACAGCTGCAACTCTGATAGTTCTGCCACTGACTCCAAGCTGTAGAGGGACTACAAATCCCAGCAATACAAATCCCAGCAATACATTATACAACAATGTTAGTCGGCTGCCATGAGGTCCCCAGCAAGAGCAGGACCTTACTGCAGCCGAATCCATTCCAAAATTTAAAGGGCCGGCATCGGCACTTAGTTTTGGGGCATTTTCACGAGTACTCGGCACCATTACTGGTATTGTTATTGGTGCATCCCTACTGTGATGTCATTGCTTTTAGAATGGAGAAAGTAGCTAGGCCTGCGCACAATGACGAGGCATCAATGAGGCGCTGATGTCGCCTGATTTTTGGTGCTGCTGTTTGAGACTACATTTCCCATCATGCAATGGGAATTATTTCCTTCAATGGGTGGGATCCTGGCAGGCCTGGATGGGCATGAAAAACCACGAGTCTGACCTGTCAATCATGTCGTCATGTCTTTGTGAGTGAGAGGGACCAGGAGCCTCTTGGCCTGTCAATCATGATCATGTCATCATGGGTGGGAGGGACCAGGAGCCTCTTGGCCTGTCAATCATGATCATGTCATCATGGGTGGGAGGGACCAGGAGCCTCTTGGCCTGTCAATCATGATCATGTCATCATGGGTGGGAGGGACCAGGAGCTTCTTGGTCTGTCAATCATGGTCATGTCATCATGGGTGGGAGGGACCAGGAGCCTCTTGGCCTGTCAATCATGGTCATGTCATCATGGGTGGGAGGGACCAGGAGCCTCTTGGCCTGTCAATCATGGTCATGTCATCATGGGTGGGAGGGACCAGGAGCCTCTTGGCCTGTCAATCATGGTCATGTCATCATGGGTGGGAGGGACCAGGAGCTTCTTGGTCTGTCAATCATGGTCATGTCATCATGGGTGGGAGGGACCAGGAGTCTCCTGACCTGTCAATCATGGTCATGTCATGGGTGGGAGGGACCAGACGTCTTCTGGGTTGTCAATCATGCTGTATTCATTGTAGGTGGGACAGACTGAGTGCCCTGGCCGGTCAGTGATGGCATTGTGTCCTGGTGGTTGGAACGGTCCAATCTTCACAAAGGGACTCACCAGAGACACGGAACTGTTACATTGTTTCTGTTGTAGAATAAGAAGAGACGATGAGGATTACGCGGAGGACACATTGTTACAGCTGGGAGTGAACCCGGAGCCATTCACTGCTGAGCACATCCGGGTTCAGGGTCGGCGGGTCGCTGGGGGCCGGGAGGAAAGAAATGAGGGACTCGGTGTCCCCGGGCACACAGGGGAGATGAAGAGGACGGGTCACCCCCAAATATTAATTTTGTTAAAAACTGCTGCTTGTAGCCAATTGGCGTCAGTCACAACTCTGTGTGCTATTAGTCGCCATCTCCATAAGAAGGTGCTTGTGTTTAAAGAACGGGGGCAGTAACAATCCTTCCCCTCCCCCCCCCGCACACATATATATATACGGTATATGTTATTTCATTTCTTACATTGCTCGTTAACAAAAAAAGAAGCTTTTGAGCAGGTAACCCGGCACTGACCCCTCCCCCCCACATCCAACCCCAAAGTGTATTGTCGCTCATCTTCCAGGTTGAAGTGACAACCCGACACACTTCGCGTTGGCCCAGGCTGTTTTTCAGTCGAAGATGGAATTCCACTTTACAGTTGAACTCCGAGCGCAAAAATGTTTTATTCCAATAAATTCGACACAATGAACAATATAAATCTACTTTGCACCAAATAACTTTATATACCTGTTTATTATCGTGTGATTGTAGCTGTGACAACATAACCTATGCAGGGAACAGCTGTGGGAGGAGCCCTGCAGGCCCCACCCACTACAGACTGCCTGTAGAAAACTACAGGAGTGGGAGGAGACAAGACCAGTCACCCTGCACAAGGAGATGGCAGCAGTGAGCGGGCTTTATTACAGGAGGGGGCGGAGACAAGACCAGTCACACTGCACAAGGAGAGAGAACAGCAGCGATTGGTCTTTATTACAGGAGGGGAGGAGACAAGACCAGTCACCCTGCACAAGGAGAGAGAGCAGCAGTGAGCGGTCTTTATTACAGGAGGGGGCGGAGACAAGACTAGTCACCCTGCACAAGGAGAGGGAGAGGCAGTGACCGGTCTTTATTACAGGAGGGGGCGGAGACAAGAACAGTCACCCTGCACAAGGAGGAGAACGCAGAGCGACAGGGAGAAGGTGAAATATAAGCAGATTGTACGTCACCTTGGTATACAGTATATCTCTTTCATGGCGCTGATGTCCTCGTCGTGCTGCGTTGCTGCCACCAGGGGGCGACAGGAGGTTGTCCTTCCCTCTCACCCGCCATAGTTAGTGTCAGTAACCCGATCCCCGCGGTGAGGATGTGCCCGAAATTCTGCAGTAATTATACGAACCCGTCCCCGCTAATCCCGGGACATTAGGAATGTGTATTCT